GTTTTGAATTCAGCTCCATAAAATTCGTATTAGCTCACAGCACCAAGACAGTTGTAAATCGTCTGTTGCCTGGACATGCCGTGGAAACGCATAGGCCGACTATATCCGTTAATATCCACGTAGAGGTGATCACAAAAACCAGGAGGAAACGAAGACCCCGTCATCTGAACCTGCACTTACTAAAACTCTGAACAAATTTTATTCTTATACAACACAAAACACATTTCGGCACAGCCTGAAAAAAATCCATATTTGCAAGTCGGTGCGACGCTCATCGTAATTTGCAGCTCGTGGCGTGTGCCAGGACAATGCAGAAAATATGTGAAATGTTGTTTTGGGTGCATGATCTGGCGTGGCAGATCAACCAGACGCAAAGCTACGACAGACAGACAGACCCCACCAGGACCAGTGACCACGAAGTAGTGAGCTCAACCCCGGGTGTAGGGCATTTGACAATATTCACTGCGTCGTGTGGACTGACTTACGCACATCATGTGCAAGATCTGACCTTCCGAAACTTGCACTCGACCGAACGCTCCTTACAGCCTCTGATTAAAGCATTGCCTAAACTGCAAATCATCAAAGGTGGTCCACTCTTTCAATGTCCGCTACTTTAGAAACACTACGACTAAGCAGCCTCGTTGCTTCCTCGTCTGTTACCCCCAGCAAAGACACCGAAGACATGCGCCATTAGACGCAAAACTTAATCATCACAATGACTTCTGCAGACGATCCAAGACCCAGTTTTTAACGATAACGTTCATTCTCGCTCAAACAGCAAAGATTTGGAGGAACATACTGTCTCCATCTTCAGAGCTTCAGCACTAAACACCACGAAATATAAGCCTAGTATACAGGCCTATATGCTATTGTTTCACTTGAATTTTGGCCTCGTTCGGCTTTGCTCCTAAAGCAGAAGACACAGGCTCTGGCTGATTCCTACGTATGAGTCCAACGATTCCGTCAAATGGCGAAATCAGACAACAGACGGACAAGAAAGGAAAGTCTGCGGACTTCGGGTCGAAATGTAATCAATCGCTAATGCCTTATGCTCAGGTGAAGGTCACACAGTGTTTACAGACAGACGCAGAGTTGCGGTCCATCAACAAAGTTATATGAATCTTGGACCTAGTTCCATGTTTCACCAACAAAACCAAATTCGACGACAGTTAACTCGGTCAGCGGTTACCTTCATTTCACATGCGAGTCCTGGGTTCGATTCTCTAAACACAAATAGAACAACAAAGATCAAATAAACATGCCTTAAGATGACGTCAAGTAGACAGCCCATACATTTTTATTAAAGAGCGTTACCGTATCGTAAAATTGTTCGCAAATTACACGAATAACAGCAAAGCCTTCGACGGTTCAGGGAGGAACCTGACTGTCGAAATCGAACAGGCGACTGTGAACGCGTTGCTTACGGCTTCGGGTTCGACCCAACGGCTAAGAAGTCAGGCCTTACGTCGGGCATCCACGGCCGTGTCGCTAATCGTCCGCATCCCCGCTTGCCCGAGGCACGCGGAGACTCGCTGTCGGCTGAGGAACGGCCTGAAATGCGTCCGAGCACAGCGAACTGACATTTACAGGGTACAATAAATGCGGTTACCAGGCTCTACAGGCCTACGGATTCCGCTGTTTCTACAGACACGTAACAGCCGTCGGATTGAATTCGTAATAAAATTGCCTGCCCTCTCAATGGGCATCCTCTAATGACGTCAGCTGACTCGTGACAGAATCCGGCCACTGGATTCGGGTCTGTTGTAGAATCGTCGCAACGAACACCAGGCTGCAAAGTCTTTGTCGGGGGAGCCTGACAGTCGCTCACCTACTCCACAAACTTTCCGCCTCTCGACGTTCAATACGACGTTCACTGCATTCCACACGCGCGAACAAAATTTCGAAGTGCGAACGTGTCTGAAGCTCCTTCCCGAAACGTCGCGCGAAAGTAAAAGGTCTCATAATTGCAGGCGAGAGGACTGGACGTCTCCTTGGTCCCGTGTTTACGTCCCGTCCCTTAAAATATTCACCTTGAGAGCAGAGAAATTGTTGACCATCGTCCGCTGCTGCCATCTGTCAACCCCTCCTCGAACTTCCACTCCAGCAGAAACAAAAACAGAGCAAAACAAAACACGAGCGGCTGCTTCTATCTCCACTTCGGAACTGTTCTCGGCGTCGGACTCCCAGAAGCTGCTACTGTGTTGCGCACGCGCACAGCCACGCCTCCCCTTCCGACGGCGCTGCTATTGGACAATCGGCTGCAAACGTCCCGCCTCGTCGCGTACGTTTTCCGTAACATGCATCCCTCTTGCGGAGAGGCTCTCAACTACTGCACGATTAATGGCGGCGCTGATCGTTACGAAACGCGGAGAGGAAGCGGCTTATCTCGAGACTGACGAAGTAGGAGGAAGTTGCGTTGGTGGCAGCGTCAGTCCGTCCGTCTGTTGCTCACTCAATTTCACGGAAACCGTCCGTTTCCTAATACAACGTGGTCGTCATTATCCTAGCTCAGCAGTTTTCTTATTTAAACCTAAAACTTACAGCAGATTAAAACGATGCCTTCTTCATTGCAAAAATCAGTTGCCGTAATTTCGTCTCAGTGCACAACAAACGCCACTGAATGCTGCTCTGTAGTTGAAGGGAGTTTATGTGAGCTGAGGGCGTAGTGCGAATTTTCCACCGATTGGCACAGGCGGTAAGCCCAGATTTGCTTAGAAGAAACTGAAATCATCCTCAAGCCTAACTGCGTAGGTCCACAGCCATTCCGTCCTACAATTCGCAGTAGAAAGGGCCTCGAACCCATGACTGCTAGGCTGTGAGAATATTCCATTGCGTTGCCATATTCCTAGAGGCTGTATCAAACCGCGGCTCGTGAGTGAGTAGGCGTGTCGGCCTGTTAGGAAGTTCCGGTCGAAATTTCAACAGTGGCGAATCTCAGTCTAGAATTCAGGTCATGTAAAAAAAATCGACGTTTTTAAATCCCCACAATCGCAACGAAATTCTGAAGTATTTTAATAATAATAATAATAATAATAATAATAATAAATGCAATTAAGAAGAAAACTCTCCCAGGTTTGTAAGTTTTATTAGCAAAGTGAAAATATTGATAATGTTTAATTAATAAGCTGAACGATATAGGCTGAGTATAGGGGTCTAAAGAAATACTTTTATGAAAATGTTATAAATGTTACGGTTCCATAAAGACAGAGTTTCTTACTGGCTAAATAACTTCCAGAGTTTCAAAACGACCATAGCATAGAATATATAGCATAGGGTTTAATTAGGTAAATGCATATGTTAGTAAATGGACAGGTTTGCAGTTTATGAGCTACCGCTTGTACGTAATAGAAATTGCTGACAAGACTATCGATTATGAAACTATCAGATGAATAACCTTTAATATTTTGTTATGAAATTAATAACAGATATTAATATAAATAAATTAAATGAGCTCACTGCTGGGAAATTTCAATTGTCCTGTTAGTAACAATATTACGAAAAGCGAGAACATTATTTTAGCTAAATAAGGACTAAGTCTGACTTGCAATTTGACACTACGGAAAAAAAAAACATTCTAATCTGTCGCTTGGTGCTCAGCTCTGATAGATGAAACACGCCTAAGTAAAATCAAGTGGAGACACTTTTAGGCCTCCTTGTTGAAAGCCAAAAACTGTTTGTAGTTACTGGACCCCTGACATTGCTCGTCGGTATTCGGAACGCGTATGAGGTATGTAGGGACATTTTGATATTCTGCTTACACTTGCTTTTATGGCCGTTAACGTCTTCAGTTGTTCTCTGTTCTGTATGAAAATATCTTCACTCCTAATTTTACCCCTCAACGCTATACTGTCTGATGTTCAGAAATCGTCATCAAATAAACTATAAATAAATAAATTTTACTTCTCATTGCCCTCAGGTATTTATTATATGCTTCCTCTAATGTTCCTCACTACGTAGTTCATTTTGTACGCTTTTTTTTAAAAAAACATAACAGCCGGGAGTTCTGAAAAGCATGTCGTATTCTGACAGATCTTCCGAGCAGACTAGAGTGTCTCTTAATTGATTTGTTACTTTTCTAACGTAGATGAAGCTCCATGGTAAACGCCCCACTGTGATGAGATGCAAGACAGTCACATGTGGAATCCCACTTTCCCGAGATGCACGTCTCGTTGACTTGCGTGGACTTCGAGCGAAGCTCTCCCTAATCTGTTCCACGGCGTCTTCAGAAACACGTGGCCCACCGGCTTTCTTGGTACGGCACATGAAACTTGATGTGTATGGCTAAATGTGTGCATTTAAAAATATTGCGCACGTCCTTTAAATAAATTTATATTCTCCTGCGAAGTTGTAAAGCTACTTTTGAAACAGGGTTTTTATCTAATACATGTAACACATTAAAAACGAAATGTATTTCGGAAATAGCTGCTGCACTATGTACCTCGGGGGCAAGGTTTGTATCGGGTACATAGAAGTAAATACGTGCCCTGTAAGATGGTGAAAAGATGGAATAATAATAATAATATCCCGCGGTCGTGTTGGCCTGTGGTTCATAGGCTAGTAGCGTAAAAGATTTCCTTCGCGATTCTTCAGATCAATAGCCAGGCCGACCACGTGGAGCCAGATGACCCCAGTAAATGCGACCTCACTGCAACGCAGACTGATCACGGCTGGGATTCGCGTTTCGAATCTGCGTTTTTCGACGGCAGAGTCTGAGCTGCGCTCATCCACTCACTCTCGGCTGTTCTCGACTTCATTCTTGTCAGAGAATTAACCCTTCCCCCCCAAAGGTACTTACAACTACTCAGAAAAGTTAGCCGACCTCTTGCTGGGGAATCAGGCGAACGTAACGCCTGCTACATCAACCTCCAACAGGTACCGCGGTTGTGTTGAATCACTTACAAACTCTCGTCTAGTTTATCAAACAGAAAATTATCAAATGTTAGCAGAGTTAGACCTCAAGGCATTACGCGGAATAATGTAATCTGTTTGGTCTTCAGTGTCTCTCGTCCAAATTCAGGAACTTCAGTCAGCTACTTCTTCGCTAAGAACCTCAGTCGCTGGGATGCGTGTACGAAGGGCAATGAAGTTGCTGACGTGGTCTCACACACACACCCGTCCAACCAGGACCGTTCCATTTCAGCCTCCTTGTGACAATCTTATCTTTCGGCGGCAGATACAGTCAAATTAGTGCTCGTCGCTTTGGCCTGCGCGCATTTCAAGAAATCAGAGAGCCCTAGCGATAAGGAAACCATTTCACATTTCTCAGATTTGCAACTTGACTGTCGTAATGACAGACAAGCTGTTCCTCCGAAACAAAATTTTATTTTGTGGGCCTAAACAAGGATCCACTTTTACTTTTCGCCGTTCTAACAATTCGAAGTTCGTGGCTTCGACGAAGACAGCTCGTGAACTCCGAACTCTGCACGAAAAGTTTAGAATTCTTTAATCAGAAGTATTTAGTGATTATGCTAAAACCTTTAATGTATTAATGTATTAACCGTACGTCCTTTGTGGACGTAATAATCAATCACATCACAACAGTAGCCTACCCTAGTGTTACACGACGTAACTATTGCAAAGTGCCCGTCTAATGGGGCATTGCCTCACTTACGTACATTCGCCGTGCAGAGGCTGAACACACGCGAGTTCACTCGATTCACGGGTGGAAAGAAAACAGATTTCTCATTCAGCGTGTGCGTATTCTTGCGTGCGTTCCCAATGCTACAAACCCCATAAGTTACACGCAATTTCTGCTCTTATAACAGAATTGCTGTGTGTACCAAGGTTACGCGGAGCACATTTTGAGAAACACTGCATGATAAGGCGTTCCTCAAGATTCGCTTTGTCCCCGGCTGTGTTATCTAGATGCTTCCGAAACATTCACCGCACCAACAATTCTCGGCATTATTGTTCCGTGTTAGGCCACCCGCCTGCCGCATAATCAGGACAGCGTGAACGTCTTGGTGCTGTGGTTAGATTACTCTCTTCGTGATCGGGAGGTCCCGGGTTCGGTTCTCGGCCGGAGATCCCACTGTCCAAACTGTTTTTGTCGCCCTGCTACATCTGTAAGCGTTCCTCTCTCCCCCCCTGCTCCAGTGGCTGAGGAATTTGTCTGGGACGCGTCTGGACTGTGTCATCGCCACTGGATCTGTTTCAAGGGCCGAGCAGGTGGCCGAGGGGGGCCCGGGTGGGGGGGGCAGATCAGACTGAAGCAGCGAATGTTGAGATTTAATTAAGATAAGCCTACTTAACAAGCTGATGGTCATTCAGATAGTCCAGAAATTCCCCTCCTTTTACGGAAGCCGAATGTTCATGACACTGTTCACAAGAGCCCCGTACCGAACCAAATGAAAACAGTTTCTTTAAGACTCATTTCAAAATTGTCATCTCATCTGACGGCTAGATTTTGCAAATATTTCTTAGACTACTGAAATCAAGTGTGGGCAAGACATGAGGCAGGGATGAGAAAGGAAGATTTGAAGGCAAAATCTGCTTTTGTGTCTTCATTCGAAGACAGAGCACTTGCGAGTATTGAGCATTTCACTGTATGTTTTAAGGTGCGAGTTTGTCAACTGTGCTGGGATGTACCCAGTAGCCGTTGCAGTTGAGACGGCGATGTCGAACACTGATTGCCGTTCAGTTCAGTATGGAACCTGCTTTGGTAGCGGAACATTCTCCGCGGGCTGCGCACTGCCGATAGTCGAAACGACACCTGCCGGCAATAAACTCTCTCGCCCCAAACACTCAGGGCGTGGCCCTTACCTGGGGCGACAGGGACATCGGCCCAAGGGTCGCTCGGGGCCGCGCGCTATCCAGTGGCACCGCGGCGAACGCTTGCGCCACTGCTGCACGCACAGCGACTCGTATCACGAATAATGCGCTGATAGCGGCGTCTTACATCTCCCGCACTTTGAAGAGCCGCTATCTCAGGGCGAGGCGAATGGTCGGGATTCGAGTTATCCGCCGCGTCACGAGCAAGAATCTTCCCTTCGCCTCTTCCGAACGCCGCTTTGATTCGACGTGGAAACTCGTTTGAAGGAGGAGAGCTCAGCTTCTCGCTTAGGCGAGATGGCTATCTTCTGGGATGTTGCGCCGTGCAATATGGCAGAAGTCTACCGACGTTTCGGAGGTCCTTGCTACCGCCATCGCTCTGATGATGAAGGCAGCAAGGACCTCCAAAACGTCGGTA